ACTATGGGGACAACTTAAGTTAACTAAAAAGAATGATCCGATTCAGGAGTGGAGCATGCAGCGATTTTGAAAATGTTTTCTGTGAATCCTGTTTACAGTTATACTGTTGTTCCCAGGTTTGGCCAGTAGGGGGCGTCCACAGACCATTAGCTGTTAAAAGTAGAACCAAATGAGACTGACTTTGTCTTTCAGCATGTTTCAAACAGCACTGTCTTCCCGTCATGGAGAGGGCTAAAACATGATTATATTAATTTTAAATGTTATATTTATTTATATTAATGGAGGATGCACATTTGCCTGAAGGATGCACAGAAATGAATGAAGCCCATGAATTTTTTTTCTTTTTTTGTTGTTTGTATGTTAGGTGCTGTATCTAATCACCATTATTTTTGAATAGTTTAAATGTTAAGTTTTCATGTAGTCTATCGATTAATATGAGGCCTAAAAGCTGAATGCATAATAATTATTGAATTTTCTTTTACAATAGTCTCAAGTGGCAGGACACTACTGAATCTGCTTGAAAATTCATATATCAGCTGCCCACAAACAAATTCAAACTGGAAAATTTGAGTTTTTCTCTATATACAGGCATTTTGATTGAGTATTCGGTGGTGTTTATAATAACATATTCATTATAAGGATAAAGAGTATCCGTGAGCAAGACAAGCAACGCTCTTATGAATGCTGTATTGGCTGTTGTGTCTGCAGCACTTCTACACCTAATGTGTCGTTTAGATTTGGCATCAGAGGAGTGTTTTGTTTTCTGCTAGCATATAAAAGGTTCAATTTTCCCCCAGTTGTCCATGAACCTTGCGTCTATTCTGGGCAATGTAGCATGAAAAGGTGTGCGCATTTTAGGAAGAGGGGCTGACGAGAGCCATCGACTCCCCGCTATCATTAAGCTGCTCGGAAACTGTTCCATCGGTGCCAGAGTCGAGATTGGCCGAGCAGTCGTTTACTTGCCGGCTTCTCGTTGAACATTAAGGACGCAAGAGGATACTAAAATGGGATGCTTTCCCCTCGTTTTCCCCTTCGCCTTTTATTCCACAGATGAGTGCAGATAATTTTCTGTGCGATTGTGAGTGATTACTGTATTACCGCGGTAATATAGGGTTATTTGGGAATGCAAAGAGAATTAATGACACATAAAAACTATTTTTGCATTGACTGCCTCTCTTGGCCGGGATATTTCTCCATGCCTGCATCTTGTGATTACCTAAACGTATTGTAAATATGTGTTTCCTATGGGCTTTTACATAAATTTACATTTTTTAACACTCAGGAGACAGAGGGACCATTAGGGACGAGTTATTTTCATCTGTACGTTTTATTCATTATTGACTTTGACACTGCTGAGGATGCTGGCTTCTGATCATTTGGCGAGCACCTTGCCAATGATGTAAATCGGATGTAGATCTTTGTAATGACAGAAACATGTCGGGAATATCGTCTGGACGCCGAGGCATTATAATGACGGAATCTCAGATGTCCGTAGGTGGGTGAAAGTCATAACGGCTTCCGCTGGAAAAGGCAAACATGAGTGTTTTGTGGGGGAAAAACTACTTATGATTCAATCACACAGCCCAGTACTTTTGCTGGAACTTTTGCAAAGTTGATTTCAAAACTGCAGGGCCCCTCCAAAGGGTCACGCTCACTCCTTTGATTCCTTTGTTTGTATGTTAGATTAGTGTACTGATTAATTACTAAAATACAACAATTATAGGATAGTTACCCTAAAAATGAGCTTTCTGTCATCATTTACTCACCCTTATTTTCAATTCCATATGAACTTCTATCTTCTCCAATCCGATATGACTTTCTTTTTTCTGCAGAACACAAAATAGAATTTAATAAGATCAAGTTTTGGTTCTAGTTAACTTCAGTCCATGGGAACTGAAATTGAAAACAAATTTTTGTGTGGACTATCCTTTTAACCTATGTCATATTAAACATTACAGATATTATGTATATATTTAATGCCTCCAGTCCTCAAACCTTCAAATGTAAGATGCCTTGGATATCAGTAAATCTCTGTACTCCATGTTTGTTCTAATGTCCACAAGCTGTAACATCGTATTCACATAAAGGCAACGCCTGACCTTAGGCGCTTCAGTGATAAGATATCTGATTGTTGTAGGTGGTGTGAAGCTCTGGCCTAAGGCATATCCTACTGCTCAGATGTCTGTGGTATGAGCCGCATAACTGAAGAGCCCAGTATAAGGTCTCAGCACTTCAGGAGAGTCAACTTGGAGGCCAGATGTCGAAACCAAAATGTCTGTGCGATGTAATTATTTATTTATGTTTAATTTGTACAGTTAAATTACAGATATTAAATATTTTAAAATGTAATCCAGGAATCAAATTCTTGCTAATGATTTCATTGTGAGAATCTTAAAACAGACAATTGAAATATATATATATATATATTTTGTGTGTAATTTTGCAACATAAAAACTATTTCATTTAAGACACACAAAGGTCCAGTGAAATTGGTATCTATAAATTACATAATGCCACAGATATTTGTATTATATGGATTTTTTTCAATAAAAACAGTAATATTTTATAACGTTTTACAATATAAAATTTTTTTATTTGAATATATATTAAAATATAAGTCATTCTTGTAATGGCAAAGCTGAAATTTCAGTCTTTGTCACATGATCCTTCAGAAATCATTCTAATTCATTTCTCTGTTGATTTTCTTTTTTATTTCCTTTTTTTAGTCATCAAATAATCATCCAAATAATCATTTTCAACTATGATAATATTAAAGATTTAAAATTGAGCACCAATACTACTTGATAATAATTGAGCACCAAATCAGCATATTAGAATGATGTCTGAAGGATTGTGTGGCCATTACAGAAATAAATTACATTTTAAAATATGTCCAAATGAAGTTACATTAAATTGTAGTAACATATCACAATATTGCTATATTTACTATTTTTAATCAAATACTGTAAAAGTAGCATAAGATAGGGTGAGAATAATACTTACAGTAATTCAAAAACATTTTGTTTTAAATCACAAATATTCCAAACGTTTGACCGCAAGTGTACATATAGCTATGGTCCAGTCCACTGTCTCTATATCTGCGGTGCATCCGTCATTACTGATGCGATGCAGCGTTCAGATAATCACAGTTAAAACATTCTGCTGAAGCAGCATTCTATGAACTGTCCCATGATGCTTAGCATGAATTACCACACCATACATCTTCCCGCTTAATCTACCATTAAGATAATAAATCCTCGCAGGCAACAGCCATTTCAATACATGTTTCGCCCGTGATTGTCTGCTTTCACAGTAGTGAAATGTCTTGTCTAAGTGTCCGGTGGAGACTTAATCCATATGACTGTGTCCTGCATTCAAAGAGTGCTGCGCTTCCCTCTGCATGCCCACAATGCCACTCTCCCTGTCTGAAAGGTGTGTGTAGTGTGGCATTGATGTGTAATTACGTGTGACTGAAACAGCGCCTTGGTGACAGGCTCTAGAGTGCTGTGGTTGGCTTGGGTGAGCTCTCCCCAGAAAAGAGGGGTTTTCTTTGCCCTTAAGAGGATTAAGTGGGGTTGTGATAACAGAGGGATAAAAAGAAGAGAATTGAATCAGAAAAGAGAGCTGGGACCAAAGAGCGACCTCTCGCAGGCGAGTTCAAACACCTGTTGTCATCGTCCCATCATCAGCACTTTCTCAGTCACGCTGCTGCTATTCTTTCTCTTAAATATTTTAATTTTAAATATTAAAGCACATTCATTTATGTTCAGGTCTAACGTGCATTAATAGTTGGCATCTTTAATTTTTTTGGCTAATTTCTGAGTGAGCCGTTTGGTTTCCTGGAGTTCTTTGATGTGTATCTGAGAAATGTGCTGTTGGAGAGATTTACCTCAGCTGACAGCTTGAAGAGTATGTGGCAAAATTGCTGTGCCAGCGGGCTAAAAGAATGCTGGGAACAGGATTAGGATCATATTCTGGCAGCGCCTGTCACTTCTTCAATGGGCTGGGGTTCCTTATGGTGGCAGCTTTCATTCTCCATGCAGCTAAAACCAAAAAGGAGAGCATGAGGGATAGAAGTTTGGATTGAATGGTACACTGTGATTTTTGTGCTAGGCATGCTTGAGGTCCATTTTGTGCTTGTGTGTCTGTAACGAACTGTCTGACGGTGACACCTGATTAAACACTAAGTTGAATTTAGAAACCGCTTAATAATTGAATTTGGATTCTGTGGAGCTTAGCAGTAACAGCTGTTTGTTTTGGTACAGTCTGATTTAAAAACCCCGTTGTGTTGGGGTCAGTTTGAACAGCATTCAGTTCCAAAATGCTTGAAAAGCTGATTAATTTGTGACTATTTGGGTAATGTGCATGCAAAGTGTCAACACAGGTGTGTTTTGGAACGGCTGTATAAATTTTGCTAACTTTTGTGTTGGGGTCATATTGACCCCCAATTAATTTTCATGCAATTTGCTAAAAATAAAAATATATATATAAATAAACTTGTCAAACAGTCAAATGTAATATAAATGAGAACTTATGAAATTTCATGAAAATCCGAATCAAACAAGGAAAATTCACTTTTTCTTTATATTGTTGAATTTCAGTAAAAAAAAAAAATAGATTCGATTTTTGGATCTCTATTACTGTCTCTATAACTAGACTGTTGCAGCACAGAAAAAAAAGTGTGAGAAACCCATTTACCTTCACAAGAGTTTGAGAAGCAGGCATATGAAGGCAGCTAAAATTTTGCATCTGTGCAGCTAATTTTGAGCATAAAAATATATGGGTCAACTTGACCCCCAACACAATAGAAATAACACGAGAAATAGGCAGGAATTATTAAATTACTCACAAATTTTTGAATCTCTGACAAGCTACAATAGAGGTTTTCTGTTTTTACATGAATCTTTAGTGTTTCAAAGTGTAGATTTTTTGAAAATTACATGGAAACCACGTGGGTCTATTTCTAACCTTGCAGGTCTGATTATGTCCAGGTGGCATGTTAGCTGTGGTAGAGAGATGTTCCCTTGCTCAGGTAGGTTTCAGTCTCCTGCTCAGTTGGGCAGCGTGTCCAGGCCCAGTGATGCTGCGTGCTGCTTCGCCCGCAAGCGTAGGTTCTCAATGCTGGTGGTCTTGCTGTTGTGGCTAGGAAGGCCTCCAGAGGCCTGCAGCAGAGGGCTGTTCCAAACCTGTTGTGCATGGTGAGATAGGGACTGATAGTAGGACTGACAGGGGAGGGAGCCCAGGGGTGCTGGCATGTTGACATTCATGCCCAGGTATGGTATAGACGATGGGGTCGCCATGTCGAAAGACGGATAATGAACCAGGTTGTTGGTAGCTGCCATGTGCTGGCGAAACTGCTCCTGCAGACGGAAGAGGCTGAGCGGTGACGAGGAGTATGAGTGACTCTGAGAGATCCCGCCGGTCACCCCGCTAGAGGAAGATGAGATAGCCGGGGAGCCAAGAGGAGAATCTAAGGACAAAAACATGGTTGTCAAGATTTAGATCAAAATGCTTGTTAGTTATTTGCCACCCTCAAAATGTGATACTGCTATTTGATGCATCCTTTCACACTGTAAAAACAAAGGCGCCAAAGCAAATCCATAAGAAATATTTTGGTTCCCCAAGTAACCTTTCAGTGAACAGTTCTTAAAATAACCATTTTGTTCTTAGTATGAAGAACAATTTATTCATCTAAAGAACCCTTTTTCACTATAAAGAACATTTTGTGCAATGGAAAGGTTGCAGTGAAATTGGAAGAGCAATAAATAGCAAATGCGTACCTGGTTTGGGGCTGAGACGTTTGCAAAGTGGGGAAAGGTTTCCAGGTGCTGGTTCTTTCTCAACCTTCAGATCTTCTCTGTGCTGTTTTATTTCCTCTTCCTTGTCAGTTGTGTTGTCCTCTGTGGCCGACTCGCTGCCTGACTGCTCTGCCGATGTCACATTAAGCTCAACGCTAAGTTCTGATCCCAGTGCGTGAGGAGCCGCTTCTGCTTCCATGGAGGAGGAAGAGGAGGAGGATGAAGGTGGCTGGTTCTCAAGATTTATGCTGGAAGGGGCATCGTCCTTATCGTTTGTTGCTAGGGGCCCATCTGTAGAGACATCTTTCTGCTTCTGCAGTTGCTCTTTTTGGAGGCTTCGCTGCTTCTTACGAAACTTTGCACGGCGGTTCTTGAACCATACCTGGTGGCCAAAAGACAAGGTGTAGATAGGCAACATGATGAATAAAGGTATTTGTAGACATTAGCAATATGATGAAATTGGTGATTTCTTACCTGTACGCGTGCCTCGGGTAGGTTGGTGCACATGGCCAGGCGCTCCCGCATCACGACATCAGGATAGTGCGTTTTCTGAAAGGTCTTCTCCAACGCCTCCAGTTGCTGGGCCGTGAAAGCGGTGCGACTGCGGCGTTGTTTGCGATGTTGAGAGCCGTAGCGAGCCTCAAGTATGATATCTTGAAATGTACAGCCGTTGGAAGACAAAAGACACGGCATATTTAATTCAGTGTACTATCACAATTATTTAGTGTGTTAAAGGAAGGAAGGGAGAGAGAGAACGCACTTACCAGCCAGTCTCTCCGCGAGGGTGAGCGCATGAACGGACGGCCGATAGTCAGGCGCGTGCTGCGCCTGTTGCGCCGCCTGTTGATGCAGGTTGTACATGGCGCTCAGTGAGTTCATAGCGTGGAGAGAGTATCCGTTCACTCCGTAGTGTTGCATGATTCAAAAGTATCTGCAAAAATAAGAATGAGCTATAATGAGTTTTAACACTGAGCTTTTTATATTTGTTAAAACATAGTTTTACATTCACAAAAGTTATATTGAGAGTTAAAGTCAAAGTTAAAAGTCAGACTAGATGCATTCGATCGATAGTTGTCTCCGTGTGAGGAGATAGCTGTAGCAGCATCTTCAATGTAGGCTAAACAATAAATGGACAAAATGTCATTATGATACATTTCGGACACGTGAGCCTTTTAGCCTTTTATATTTAATAGCCTAAATAAATCTATTATTGACAATATGATTCAGTGTACTATCACAATTATTTAGTGTGTTAAAGGAAGGAAGGGAGAGAGAGAACGCACTTACCAGCCAGTCTCTCCGCGAGGGTGAGCGCATGAACGGACGGCCGATAGTCAGGCGCGTGCTGCGCCTGTTGCGCCGCCTGTTGATGCAGGTTGTACATGGCGCTCAGTGAGTTCATAGCGTGGAGAGAGTATCCGTTCACTCCGTAGTGTTGCATGATTCAAAAGTATCTGCAAAAATAAGAATGAGCTATAATGAGTTTTAACACTGAGCTTTTTATATTTGTTAAAACATAGTTTTACATTCACAAAAGTTATATTGAGAGTTAAAGTCAAAGTTAAAAGTCAGACTAGATGCATTCGATCTATAGTTGTCTCCGTGTGAGGAGACAGCTGTAGCAGCATCTTCAATGTAGGCTAAACAATAAATGGACAAAATGTCATTATGATACATTTCGGACACGTGAGCCTTTTAGCCTTTTATATTTAATAGCCTAAATAAATCTATTATTGACAATATTATTATTTGAGACTTTGGTGCTAGGTGTCACGACTGCGGCTATAAAATTAAAGGCAAAATTCCTTAAAATGCCTTAAATGCAGTGAATAATTCGCATACTGAGGTGATCAGGCCTTAAAGATAGGCCTACTGAACACTTTACTTCACTATAGTCTATGTTTATTTGTCCCATCGTCTAGTAAATGGTCCCGCGTTAATTTATTACATTTACTAAAAACAAATATTTTAATTAATATCTTCCTTATGTGTTTTTTTATGTAGCTACGCGTAGTTATATATAATCAATTAATATAGGTTGTCAGTTTATAGCTAGAGTGTCAAGTAGCGCTTTTAAAAATCCGCTTATAGGAGCGGAACTGTGTTCATTAATATCCAATTATTGTTTTGTCCAATCCATTAGTCATACACAAGGAATTAATTGGTGCAATTATCACTTGTTTACCTAATGAGCTCCGACTTATGCTTACTACATTAGATTTATAATTTCAGAGCCAAATTACCGTAGCAAGTCCTTTAAAACAGTTGTCAATGACTCATTGATTGATTTTAGTGAGATCTAGGCCTATGCTACTTAAGCCATGAACGAATGTTTTGATATAGACTTAACAGTTCTGTAATCGAAATTTAATTTCTCTCATAATTTCATATGCTAGGACTTGGAAAGACGATGTTTCAATCGTAATATTTACAATTTACTGATGATTGCACGGGATGCTATTAATTAACAAATTTGGCCATGGGGTTTAGTGTCCTGCTTCTCCGGTCATTTTTCACTGTCGATTTAAGATTATCATAGATAAAATGAAAGGCTCCAGGACACGATTAGATATGTATTAGTATAGAGGTGGCTGACAGGCACGAATATCTCCAAGGCCAATGCACTGCGCATTATTAAGAGAGAAAGTATGCTCCCGCACATGGCGGGTGTCCAGGGACTTGTAACAGCCTCGAGTTTTAAACTAAATTTTATTTCCAACCAGCACTTAAATTGCTCGTTATTTACTTCGATTCAGTTCGTTTGTAGCCTACATGAAATTAACGAACTACATGAAAAAAAAAAAACATGCATACTAATTCATCAAAATCAAATTACGTTAAAATATCTAACACAGTTTGAAATTATGGGCTATTTTTGAGCAGTGCTGTAGCAATAATAATTATAATAGGCTAATAATAATAACAATTAGATATATAGCCTAGGTTATAATTCTTTGTAGACTTATTATTATATAATAATTCTGACACTAATTGGCAAACATTATGTAGCTTATTTCGCATTGTGGCATATGTTTGTCTATGTTTGTTTCAAGATAATTCAGTGCCATTTTAATAAGGCATATTCAAAATAATTTCCATAGCTTAGTAGTATTAGCTAGCCTATTTAGATTGACCAATGTTGTTTAATTGTTAATATTTTAGTAATAATTAAATTACTATTAAATTGTGATCTATTGTGTTGTTGCTGTTTGTGTTGTTATTATTTCTGTATTTATATAATCTTGTTGCTTCAAGTATTAATGATATAAAGTGCCGTTATAAAGTGCTTTTTTTTAAGTGCCGTTTTTCTTTTCGATAATTGCCTTTCTTGGTCATCCTATGCAGTTTTGTAACCGGCGATTGCCGTTATGTCTATTCAGAACTTAGGGATGGAAATTTGTTTGGAGGGCTTGTTTAAAGGATTTTGTGTGTGTGTGTATTATCCTTATCTGTTATAGGCCACCGAAACGCTTACCCTCCGCAGCGTGGAAGCTTCTGAATGACACTCGGAGTGCCCATTCCCAGACTATTAAGTCAGTGCAGCGTCTGATGAATGTGATCAGAGGGCAAGAGGGAATAGTTTAATTCGCTTGGACAGAAGGTGCTTTGCTAAACATTTACTTTTCTCCCCCAAGTATTTGAATTGAATGGGGTCCGTTTCTCTCCCTCCCTTTTCTCGTGCCCCCTTATCCCATCGCCCCGGGGCCACGTTTTGGCTGAGATGTATGGCTTCTCTGCGGGTAAAATATGCATGTTGATCCCCATTTGGGTCCCCGTCTAATGGAAGTGCAAATAGGTTTCGACTGTGGAGACCTCCATTTATCATCACCGCTGACACGGACGGACGTATACAGTGAGTTTACATGTGTGTGCGTGGCTTCAAGAAATGCTCGCGTGTGTTTTCCAAGCAATATGTGTCTAATGAGATGTGTTATAGGCCTACATCGACTTACGTTTTCTACTTTTAATTCATTGGCTTTCCATCTATGTATATGGATGTTATAACTTACATTTGACAAAAAAAAATAAAAAATTCCACACATTTTAAAATAGTAATAAAAACGAAAGAAAAAAAACTGACCATCGATCAATCTAATAGTGATTTAGTACAACCAGATAATAATAGGCCTAACAATAATAATGTATGATTTACCATTCATGTTTGTGAAATATTTGTTTAAGCGAACTTTGCTAAACGTCAAAATTTCGCCACAGGCCAACTAATATTTCGCAAAAAGGGCAGCTTATTTTAATACTGTGTCTCGCTGCTATTGTAGTCTGTTCATCCGCCTGTTACTGCCGCTGGCAGTGTGACACTCCATGCTTCGATTATTAAAACCTCATTATGCAAATTGGCATGTACAGTGCAACTTTTTGATCCGACTAAATTAGGAAAAATGTTAGCGTTAAAACCCCATTTGACCTGGGGGCACTCTTTATCGTGTCTCGCATGACATATATTTATATTGTCACTCATATTTTTGTATCCCTCGCTGTCCGAGGCCCCCCACATTTAAGTTAGCCTAAGCGCAGAGAGGTTTATCGTACTCCATTTCTAAGTTGACCTATCTCTAGTTGAAATGTATTTTATATCAGAATTTAATAATTCTGAAGAGAGGACAATAATAGTTTTAACCCACTTTTAAGGCTAATTTAAATTCTAAGTTTTAAGGAAGGCACCCTGGCGCACGATCAAAATAAACTCTTGAGTTAGCCTATATGTCATAAGTTGAAGTTCTTTTTAAAATAATTGAGTCGTGCCCTCTGGAATACAATTATGAATCTCAGGGGGGGAAAAACACTTAAATTAAAAAAAGTCTGGGCTATATGAAGAGTAGCCTAAAGAAAAACTGCCATCATAATTTATTTAATATTATTTAAGTTAGGCTATATTTTAGATAGGCTACTGCTGAACTGACACGTTTAAATCTTACTGTTTTTGGTTTATTATTTTTTACGTCAATAATTGCATAAGTCGTTTCTTACCTCAATCTTGTCCTTTATCCAGTGTCTTACACTGTCACTTGATATTTTGTTGCTTGTAGCCCGGAGTATTTCCCAGATGTCCTTATCGCGTTTCTCAAAGTCTAAGAGCCCATTCAAATGTATCCGCTAAGTATCAAGCGACTCCAAATCGTTCCCTGCGCGCTCTTCTCAGCACATTGAGTCCATCTATTGACACGCGCTTTGAGGAGGGATTTTAAAGAGCTCCGCGTAACATCAAGGAGGCTTACTACTGGTCCTTGAAGCTGTCAATCAAAGCTCGACGATATACTTTTCTGGCTACATACTCAGAGCCAATTGACCCTTTACTTGAAGTCTTAAATCACGCACTTGAGAGCACTAATGTGCACTCAGAAACGCTTTTGCTTATGAACAATATAGCCATATGTTATGTGAGAATAAACAGAAAATACTGGCATCGGTATAAAGGTTTAGAGCAGGAACAGAAGAGAAACGGCTTTATATAGCTCGGTGATGGCAGAGTTTATGAACAAAAAAAGCCATTAAAACGTTTTGTTTTGTTTTCCAAAAAACAAATGTAGCTTATGGATTTTATTGTTTGCTTGATTTGGGGATTTATAGTTTGTTAAAGTCATGCAAGAACCAAAATTTGGAATAACAGCAGATCGCTAGAAATTGAGTTTATCAAACTCGGTTTTGCCAAAGTTAGTATGGAGTAAATGCCATTATATGAAAGTATGAATATTTTGCTTTCTTACATTGTTCTCACGCATTGACTTGTTTTTGGTACTTCGTGAACATAGGAATATTTCTATAGAGGACACGGTCCCAAGACGTTTTTTTAGGTATCTAAGACGCTTCACACGGGGGTAATTATTATTATTATTGTTATTATTAATATTTATTTTTATTTTATTACCTTTATGGAAACAAACCTGTGTCCTTTCCCATTTTTTTTATG